TATAAATCCTAGAGCCACATTTGCTTCTCAGCCAGTAAGGTGATTAATGTCATTACCAACCAACTGGCTAATGGCATTCATTTTCTAATCTCCAGAAAACCAAACCAGTTATGTAATTGGTCAGTGCAAACAGGCCCATGTCTCTTTGCCCCCATTTCCTCCCTTGGCCCCATTCAAGCTACAACCTCTATAATTCTTCAGCTAAGTAAACAATCCTTATTGAGTGGAAGATGAAGTACCTTTATCGGTGAAACCACTTTAGGCACATGCCAAATTTGAGGGAATTTCTATGTATTCACTTGAAGGATTCAAAGAGTAAGTTACAAATACGCTTAGCTACAACCTCTTAAATGCATGCACAGACTTAATGGAGGATAATCTAATTTCTTACACTGAAATCAAATCTGCTTGGCGCCAGAATCTGTGTGTACACTCTATTTTTCTGTTGGGTCAAGAAAGAAAGAGCTTTTTTTGTTGTTGTTGTTTCCTGGTGGTTTGAAACAACTGCAGAAGTAATGTGGGAGATTTCTACATTTTCTTGGATTTATTTCAATGTTAAATTGGATATCTAATGCAGGTACTAGGCTGTGCATAAAAGCATTTTTCAAAAGCGGGAGGAAAAACTGCAATGTAAATGATAGTGATAATTTTCATATGAACATTGAGATTTTGCACTCAGGGCAAGTTTTTTTTTTTTTTTTTTTTTTTTTTTTTTTTTTTTATTTTATTTTATTTATTCTAAATCTATTGGAAAACCTTTCTGAACAGTGTCTCCCCCTCGCTCTCTCTCTTGCGCCCGCTCTCTCTTCCTCTTTATCAAATAAGCTTCATTGGCAAGGCCAAAAGCACATTAGAACATAGTTTCCTCTCTTACTTTATGGATGTGGATCCTGGACAGTGGGCCTCTACAAATTAATGTCCTTCCCTGTGGAGGTTTCAGAACATTGCAACATGATAAAGACCTTAAAGTGGAACTTTAGGGAAAAAAAAAAAAATCCGCAAACAGAATTTTTAATGCAGAAGAGATATTGTAGGGGAGGTTGAAAACTGAAGCACTCAGAACCTGATGTGGCTGTGCATGGTAGCCAATCAGCTTCTAACTTTAACTTGTACAATTAAGCTTTGACAATAAAACCTGGAAGCTGATTGGTTTCTGTGCAGAGCCGCACCAGATTTTGCACTCTCCAGTTTTAGTAAATCACCACTGTCTCTTCTGCATTAAAGTTCCTTACATGCCTATACTCGGTACAATTTCAGTATATGCATGGAAGTTTATTCATCTCGGCATTGCTGGAGTAACAGCATCTTGGCCTGGCTAATGTAAATGGCCAAAGATCAGTACCTGGAAGCAGACCAGCCAAGAGGTCCGTGGGGCTGGTGGGGAGCTAAAAGATACCACAGCATTGGAGAGAAGGGGAGTATAGTTCTACTTTAACTTCTAATACCTTCTGGGCACAGTCTGCTCTGCAGGGCTTGTAGTTCGTTTGCTATGCCATTTCTATTTCTAGGATTCTTGGAAGTTAAAAAAAAAAAAAAAAAAAAAAAAAGTTTAGATGCAAGGCCAGTTGATAGATTCTACGTCAGTTTTTATCCCTGAGGAACCCTTGAAATGCTCATGTCTCTGGAAATCCCTGCTATTAATATCTACATTAGTATGCTGTGGCAGAACCTATAGTGATTTACGTAGAGTAACTAACACCCAAGGTAGATAATTTTTTTAACACCCCCCAATCTACAAATGATCTTTAGTAGAAATCCTGAAATGAAACTAATACTACTAATATCCAGATAGGAAACTGCAAAGAAACTCTGCATTGTTGTGACCTTTTACATCAGTGGACATGTAAAAACGCCTTTTCACAGTAGCACAGTCAGTGTAGTGTCCCCTTACGATAGGGGTTAGTGGAAAAATGCCCCCCTACATTGGTGGTCAGTGTGATGTTCCCTTGCATTAGTGATTAGCTGAGAAATACCCTCTTCCATTGTCAGCTGAAAATCGCCCATTTACATTGATAAGTGCAGACATGATCTCAATCTGTCCCTGTGCAAGAAACCTCTGGTAACCTCTTAAGGAACCTGGATTGACAGACTACTCTACATTGTTTTTTTTTTTTTTCTATTTTTTTTGCTCCAGTAATTGACATTTCTTTTGGCATGTCAAATTTCTATCAATTTAGGCTGACAAACCCTAACATTGAGGTCATTGTACTGGGTAGAAGCTTTGTCCTCGGCAAGGCTTTGTGTGTGAAAGATTTGGAGTTCCAGTTGTGGGATGCAGTGGCTGCATGGACACATTTATTTGTCCTAAAACATGCATTGGGTGTTATTTGCTAAAACTGGAGAGTGCAAAATCTGGTCCAACTCTGCATAGAAACCAATATGCTTCCATTTTTTTTTTTTTTGCTAAAGCTTAATTGAACAAGCTTAAGCTAGAAGCTGGTTGGCTACCATGCTCTGTTGACCAGTTTTTGTCAATCTCCCACGTTGTCTGCATTCGTGGCTGATCACCCACACACCTCACATTAATGCAAACGGCTGTGTCCATGCAGCCACTGCGACCAAACAGACTTTAATTGGCTGCCTGCATGCAACATAGGGTTGCCACCACATCCCTTTAAAGCCGAACACATTTAATTACACAGCTTCTAAAGCTGATTTATAGCAGATAAGGCACTAAGTGAGTTTAATTACCAACTTAATCAGCCATGGAACCTGTGTAATTGGTGTTCAGTTTTAAAGAGATGAGGTGGGAACCCTAATGCAACACCTGAAGATTCGAGTAGGGTTGGCACCTCATCCCTTTAAACCCCAACACTTTAATTACACAGGTTCTGAGACTAATTTAATTAGGAAAAGGCACCAAGGGAGTTCAATTACCATCTTAATCAGCCACAGAACCTGTGTAATTAATGTGCTGGGGTTTAAAGTGGGTTTAATGAGGCAACCCTGGATTAGACATGCCAGTAAAAACACCCCATGTCGGTTTTTATTGCTATCTCCCCCCCCCCCCCCCCCGGTGGAGACTTACAGTTGCAAGAAAAAGTATGTGAACCCCTTGGGATTACATGGCGTTTTGCATGAATTGGGCATAAAATTTGCTCTGAACGTCATCTAAGTCACAACAATAGAAGAACACAGTCTGATGAACGTAATACTACACGAACATTAGATGTTGCCATGGTTTAATTGCACATAACGTGTAAACACTCACAGTGCAGGTAGGAAAAAGTATGTGAGGCCCTAGCTTAATGACTTCTCCCAGAGCTAATTGGAGCCAGGAGTGAGCCAACCTTGACTCCAATCAGTGTGATGATAATGGATGTGTTGCTGACAGCTGTCCTGCCCTTAAAAAACGCACACCTGTTTTGGGTTTACTGGTTTCAAAAAGCACTGTCTGATGTGAACCATGCCTCGCAGAAAAGAGCTCTCAGAAGACCTACGATCAAGAATTGTTGACTTGCATGAAGCTGGAAAGGGTTACAAAAGTACCTTCAAAAGCCTTGATGTTCATGTGTCCACGGTAAGACAGACTGTCTACAAATGGAGAAAGTTTAGCACTGTTGCTACTCTCTCCCTAGGCGGGGTCGTCCTGTAAAAATGACTGCAAGAGCACAGCGCAGAATGCTGCATGAGGTAAAGAAGAATCCCAGAGTGTCAGCTAAAGACCTACAGAAATCTCTGGCACATGCTAACATTTTTGTTGACACATCTACAATAAGGAAAACATTAAACAAGAATGGAGTACATGGGAGGACACCACGGAGGAAGCCATTGCTGTCCAAAAAGAATATTGCAGCATGTTTGAAGTTTGCAAAAGAGCACCTGGATGTTCCACAGCACTGCTGGCAAAATATACTGTGGACAGATGAAACCAAGATTGAGTTGTTTGGGAAGAACACGCAACACTATGTGTGGAGAAAAAAAGGCACAGCACACCAACATCAAAACCTCATCCCCACTGTAAAACATGGCGGAGGGAGCATCATGGTTTGGGGCTGCTTTGCTGCCTCAGGGCCTGGACGGATTGTTGTCATTGATGGGAAAATTAATTACAGAGTTTATCAAGACATTTTGCAGGAAAACGTACGACCATCTGTCCACCAACTGAAGCTCCGCAGAGGATGGGTGATGCAACAGGACAATGATCCAAAGCATACAAGTAATTCAACAAAACAATGGCTGCAACAGCACAGAATACGCCTTCTGGAGTGGCCCAGTCAGAGTCCTGACCTCAACCCGATTGAAATGCTGTGGCATGACCTTAAGAGAGCAATTCACACCAGATATCCCAAGAATATTGCTACACTGAAACAGTTTTGTGAAGAGGAGTGGTCCAAAATTACTCCAGATCATTGTGCAGGTCTGATCTGCAACTACAGGAAACGTTTGGCTGAGGTTATTGCTGCCAAAGGAGGGTCAACCAGTTATTAAGTCCAAAGGTTCACATACCTTTCCTCCCTGCACTGTGACTGTTTACATGTTATGTGCAATGAAACCATGGCAACATCTAATGTTTGTGTAGTATTATGTTCAGCAGACTGTGTTCTTCTATTGTTGTGACTTAGATGACGTTCAGAGCACATTTTTATGCCCAATTCATGCAAAACTCCACGTAATCCCAAGGGGTTCACATACTTTTTCTTGCAACTGTATCCTATCGATTTGTCCTGTTTACCAATATCATTGAAAGTAAAATGTACAGCGCTGAGAACTTTTAGCGCTATATAATTACTGTATAATAATAAAAGAAAATCCCACATTTTGTGTTGTCCCCAGAAAAGTAAGAGGGGAAATCTTCCAATTGGGACACTAGTTCTGGTGACCTGGGAATCCCGAAGGAATTCCCTTAATTTGTAGGGATTTCCTTTCACTTTCTGTTTTGGCTATGGGACAGGAAATAAAGGGGAATCACTGCAATGGGACACAGATGGCGAAAAAAAAAAAAAAATCTGACAGTTATAACCCTCCCTTACCCTATCCAAAATGGGGGAAAACTATTTTTTTTGCCTATAGTTCTACTTTTAAACCATCATTTTTTTGTGTATTTATATTTTAAGATCATTGTAACTGGTGATGTAGTACAGGTGTATCCAGGGGCGGACTGACAACTCATGGGGCCCCCGGGCAATAGGGGATCATGGGGCCCATGTGTCCTTGCCCAAACTCAAAAAAGCCTATGAAAAAAGGTACCAGGGGCATCTCATGTGGCCCCCTACTGACCCCGGGTCCTCAGGCAGTGCCCGAGTTTCCAAATGGTCAGTCCGCCCCTGGGTGTATCCTTTTACCCTACATATGTCATGTAAACCTCTCAGAAAGTTGGGAGGTACGGTATTGCCAAGGATTGCTTGCTGCAGTTGGCACAGATGGTTATCTTCGTTATTCTTTCAGGTCGCCATACATTTGTCACGTGACTTATCATTTTAAAAGTTTTCCAGAAGCTGTATTGTTGCGTACACTTACATAAATGTTATATTGCGCACATTCCTCCTTTTTATACCATTTAAAAGAAGTTTTATTTCTAGGTGTAATACAAAACCTGAAATATAAACTTACATTATTTAACTAAGATAATATACTGCCCCCTTGTGGATGGTAAATCTGCAAACTAGGGCTAACGGTTCATAATCTTGTAATTTACATTGCTCTTCTTGTACCATATACATTCCTTAAAGTACAATGTGTTTTGGTTTAGCGTGTCCTCACTTGAACTCCTGTTCTCTTTATTGCATTGGTTTTCTATTGCGTAAGTAGAATCTGTAACTTCCCACCTAAAAACAGGCAAATGTGGCACTGAGGACTCGGGCAATGTGCCACTGTTGATCCCTTATGTTTTTATGGGCTCACTGTATCCACTGTTCCCAATGAGAAATATTAAAATGTATTCTTCTTGCCATAACTGAAGACATAGCCTTCCATCTGATGCAGCACACAGACCCAGCATTTCTGGAGTATAGTTCCAACCATGGCAACAAAGAGTTATGTGGTTATTTAGCTAGAACACAGTAGATAATTTATTTTAAAAACCTGTTCAATCATAAGTAAGCAGGGAAAGGGGTAAATACTATTTACAAAGCCGACAAATTTGCAAACTTAAATTACATCCTTAAATTTTCTAGAGAGGTGGAGCTGGAATTTAAAATCCTGTCCTTGTACCTACAGGCATCAACGATATGGCCACAGTACACGATGTGTGGGTGGATAGTTAGTGTGTGCAGCAAGCAATGTATGTGCATGTTGGCATTGGGTGAACATCTAACTTTCAATAGAGACAGGATGGGTAGCACTAGTTGATGAAACTGGTCTATTTTGGGGAAGGGGACCAGTAGTAGTCAGCCAGATAAACCCCATCCCCGCCTGAAAAGGCTCAGCCAGGGATTGAGAGGCATACATACGATTTTTCCATTCCACTAGTTAATGTTTGTAGGTAGCTTAAAGGTTAGGTTTGGGGTTCTAAAAAAAAAAAACAGATACACATACTCACCTCTATGCTGCAGCATCAGTGTGACGCTGCGGCGGGTTTCCTGTCAGCTGTAAGACTGAGAATTTAGCAATCGCATGACTACTAATCACTCAGTTCTTGGTCAGGCTTAGAGAGCGGAGAGCAGTGACTGTGAGTCATGGCTCTCTGCTCTGCCCTTTCAATGCTCACTGGAGCATTGGGCTGGGGAGTGGACAGGTGCAGCTGACTCTGGGTCTTAGCCATGTGCTGAGAAGTGGAGTCAGCTGTCGGGCAGCTGTGTGGATCCTGACAATAGGCACAGGATCCTTCTAGTGTCAAAAGTGGCTTTGTCATATCAGCAACCAGGGTATAGCCCACTGTTGTTGGACAATTCTGGGTCACAGGAAAGCAAAAGTAAGTGCTCTCATGTGACCCACAAGAGAAGTCTGGCCATACTTCTTTTAAGAACAAATTGAATACTAATAGAGGCCAAAATTGTAATTAAGTCATCTGGAGATTTCAGAGGGTAGGTGGACATGCATACGTGACTCCCGTTCTTGCCTCTTTTTAAAAATTCAGCCCAAAGGCTTTAAATTCAGGAGATCGGTCACTCAGAAAGTAACAAAACCTAAGTGTGAGTTTAACAGCCAGGCAACTGATCTTTCCAATGGAAGTCTAGAAAGACAGACAGATTCATGATCTTTTGCAGGAAAATTAACTGTGGGGAAAGTAGAAATTTAATCTATACTGCATATTTTAAACATTGGGACACTCCCCTGCCGCCCACATCATGTCAACTAACATGGTTCAGTTAGAAGTCATGATCCCAGGGCTGCTGTTAGAAACCAGGGGCCGCATGCAGCCAACTTGACCTTTCCAAAAAATACACTGTTTACAATGCTTCAGTACCAATCACTCACTGTGCTCATTCATAACTGATCACTCATTGTGTTCATTCAGGAAAGAAAGGGGCTGGTAAATGTTTCATATTTACCGGACCCTTCCCCAATCTCCATCCTGAGGGATCCTATTGTGTACTTGCAGCTGCCGGTGGGAAGGAGAGGAGAGAAGCCAGCAGCACTGCGGGGGTGGGGGCACACAGGAGCCTGGGCAGCAGGGGGAAATGTATGTCATGCACCGGGAGGGTGATGGGTGCGGCGGGAGGGGTGGGGACAATTGCTGGAACTGATCCCCTGTATTGCTGTCTGAAAGCCAGCGGGAGGGAGAAGAGAAGAAGCCAGGTTTTAGCTGCTGCAGAGAGCCATACATGGAATCTGTTCACGTAACTGATTCCCCGCCATGCCCATCACCCTCCCTGCCCACATCCAATTCATCCAGCTGCCTGGGCTTCCCTGCTTGCCTGGGCCCTGTACAGGACTGGTGGTACCCCCTTATGCACAGCCCTGCATAGTCCTTACAATTTTTTTGTAATTAAAACTATAAAAATGTGATCTAGAGAAAATGTGTATTTTTTTTTTTTTTTTTAGCATGTCGGCTATACTGTCCTACAGCTTTCTAAATGAACACATTCTAAATTCATATTCCAAACAGTATTTCCTTCCTGCTCAACACTCTAACTTCCTGTTTCACATGGAAAGAACTGGTAGTTGTTACAAAATAGGGAAAAAAGAAACAAAAACAACAAACTGCAATAGCAAAGATTTTACAGATCTTTCTGTAGCAGAAAACAAACATCAGGTTTTAAACCCAATCTAATTGATTAATCTTTGAGTTTTGGATTATGAGAATTGACTAGTTTTCTAAATAACCCATAGAAATGAAGTACACTGAGATGCCGATCAGCAAAAGTGGGAAAACAATTGGCAGAAAATGTAAAATGTTGCAAATAATGACTTATGAAAAAACCTTTCAAGTCATAGACAACTGAAAGGGTCAGTCTACACAAAGGTTGTATTTTATTAGTGGTTGGAACCTAGTAGGTTGAAGTAGCACTTTCTATGTCTGGGATTTCTCCAAAAGCAGGATCCAGCTATAATCCTTGACTCTGTTCTTGCTTGCTTGGGTGTTTGGGAGCAGGGGCGGACTGACAACTCATGGGGCCCCCGGGCAATAGGGGATCATGGGGCCCCTGTGTCCTTGCCCACACTCAAACCACACCTAAAAAAGCCTATGAAAGGTACCAGGGACATCTCATGGGGCCCCCTACTGACTCCTAGTGCCCGAGTTCCCCATTGGTCAGTCCGCCCCTGTTTGGGAGTATTAGGCTATCTTTGCATTTTCCAGAACTTGCGATATATTAAAAAAAACTAGCAGGCATTTTGGGTATGCCTCATAATGGCCACAACTGGTGTGCAAATGTAAGAATTCAAGTGCAGAGATTTCACAAATAGAGTTCCAAGAGATGCACTGTATGACCAAACGTATGTGAACACTTAAATTGAGTTTACAGGTTCCCACTGAACATTACTATTATGCTACAGCATATAGTACAGAAATATTTTTGAGAATCGTACACATGCCAACATTGTGGCAACAGTTTTGGAAGGCTCCTTTGTTCCAGCAGGACTGTGCCCCTGTGCACAAAGCCAGGCCCATAAAGATATGGTTTCAGGAGTTTGGCAAGGAGAAATTTTAAGAAGCCTAAACAGAGCCCTGACCTTAACCCTATTAAATACCTTTTGGGATGATTTCGAACAGCAGGTCATTTCATACAACATTCGTACCTAAACTTATAAAAGGCTCTTTTGACTAAATAGACACAAATATCCACAAACAACCTCCAAAATCTTGTGAAAAACCTTCTCAGAAAATTGAAGGCTGATAAAACCCCAAAGCAGGGAGGAGGAGGGGTAACTCCATATTAATGCAATGATTTTGGAATGGGATGTCTGACAAGATCCTGAATTTGAGTTCATTAGGTTTCCGGAAACTGTTGACCATATAGTGTATACAGCTGTCAAGTGGATTAACTCTACCAGCCACCAAAAACTATTTATTTATTTATTTCAGGTACTTATATAGCACTGTCAGTTTACGCAGCGCTTTAAATATATATTGTACATTCACATCAGTCCCTAACCCTCAAGGAGCGTACAATCTAAGGTCCCTAACTTACATTCAGACATACACATACTAGGGCCAATTTAGACAGGAGCCAATTAACCTACCAGCATGTCTTTGGAGTGTGAGAGGAAACTGGAGTACCTGGAGGAAACCCACGCATGCACAGGGAGAACATGCAAACTCCAGGCAAGAGGTGCCGTGGCTGGGATTCGAACCAACGGCCCTAGTGCTGCCAGGCGGAAGTGCTAACCATTTAGCCAACTAGGGGGTTGATTTACTAAAACTGAAGAATGCAGATTCTGGTGCAGGCGTGCATGGTAGCCAATCAGCTTCTAACTTGAGCTCGTTCAATTAAGCTTTAAGAAAAGAAAAAAAAATGGAATCTGATTGGTTTCTATGTAGAGATGTATGCACCAGATTTTGGTTTCTATGTAGAGATGTATGCACCAGATTTTGGTTTCTATGTAGAGATGTATGCACCAGATTTTGCACTCTCCAGTTTTGGTAAATTCACCCCACATGCCGGTTTTGGGTGGGCTGATCATTTTACCAACAATCCTGACTGGTTAGGCAACATATCCAATGTTTTGCAGTTGTCCTGATTCAGTACCTTTTAGTTTTCCTGGGAGGCATTGAGCGAAGTATCTCAGATACCAACCTGCCCTATATGGTAACAACTTTATTTACACACTTTTTTTTTTTTTTTGCTGTTATGTGACTTCACTAATAATCACAAAGGCCTTACAATATCAGTTCAGTGATCAAGTGTCAGCAGCCATCAAGAAATGGGCATTTGCATTCCGATCCCATAGCTTCTGATAAGAGTAGACGATCAATCTAAAGCTGACTGACAACAAATCGCTTTCATGTGTTTCTGGTTGGGGCTGCAGCCTATTGTTTGTGTTTTAGTAGATTATGTAATAAAACATGGCTTCATTAAGATATTAAGTGCATCCAGATTTTTGGCCAGCACTACAAACCACTGGGGATCGCAATAGTAACATGTTCCAGTTAAAGCCATGATTAGTGCTTGTGTTTCATGACTGCGATCAGAATATTAAGAGATTTGCGTGTAGTAAACTACTGTTCTGCAGCAGGATAATTATATACAAAGTCACTACAAATCAACTGCAATCTGAGATTTTCTTAAGCAGTACGGTCTGGTTTGGGAAAAACATTACATTTCTTCTACATACTGTAGTAGAACTGCAATTAAACTGATCCTGTTCTTCAGTATAGCTAATCTTTTTGCTGATATACATTTTCCACGCTACATAGACAGGTGACACCATGAATACTGTTTTTCAGTTTTTTTACTTCCTTTGTCACCTGCTTGTTCATAGAACAGTGGATCAGATTAAAGTGATAGTAAAGATTCAGTTAATTTATTTTTTTTTAATCAACCATGTTATACTTATCTGCTTTGTGCGGTGGTTTTGCACAGGGCAGCCCTGATCCTTCTCTTCTAGGGTCCCCTGCTGGCCCTCCTGGTTCCTCCCACCACCCGCTATGGTATGGAGGCACTCATGTGTGCTCGCTCCCGAGCCAAGCTCTGTGTATCTATTGCCACACAGACCATGGCTCATCCCCACCCACCACTCTCTCCTCACTGGCTGTAATTGATTGTAGCGGGAGCCAATGACCCTACTACTGTCTGAGTCAATGAGGAAGGGAGAGAGAGGAGAGCGCTCAGGTAAGTATAAGGGTAGGCTGAGGGGAGTTGCACTCTGAAGTATTCTTTACCTTAATACATTAAGATAAAAAAAACCTTCTGCCTTTAGAACCACTTTAATTCCCGTTGAGTAGCATATGACAGAAGATGCTACAAAGCTAAAATAGTAATAATACCTTTTTTTGTTGTGCAGTGCGTTAGAGGCAAAACAAATGGCAAAATTAAACAACTAACAAATCCTGTGACATTTCACATGTATGGAATTCAACTGTGTATTTAGGTGTTTGCTGTAGGTCATCTTTAAAGCCCAACTATGAGAATTACAAAAAAGGGAAGCGAGGAGGCCCCACTGCAATAGGTGTAGGCCTGTTAACTCTATGGGATGAGGAAAAAGTTGCAATACTTGCTGTACCCCCACTTCTTCTAGCTCTCTCATCTGTGCAACTGGCCCCCTGAAGTCTCTAAGGAGCTCCAGCCACTTTGACGTCATCAAGTACCATGTGGGACCGCACACAAGCTAGCACGAGTAGTAAGGGAAGTATTACATATTCATTCTTATCCCCTCGAGTTAACAAGCCTAAACCCTTGTACAGGACACTGCCTGCAAGGTTAGTCTTTTGGAATTCCTAGAGTTGAGCTTTAAAGGTACACTAGGATATATAATTGAACTGTGAAAACTGAGTCTCTTCCCACCCAAAAAATAAAAAAAATAAACAGGCAGGGGGAAAATGGCTAGTTACGAGTATCATCTGTGGTCTCTCTGCAGCTGTTCTTTTCCCCATTACTGACTTACCATACCTTGTTCTGAACTGTCACTGTGTTGAGGTTGCCTTCTTTGTAGTGGCAGGGCTGTGCTTCCATAAGTCAGAGCCTTCAACAAGGAGAACAGTAAGCAACACAATAGTGACACCAAATCTCTCTCCAAAGTAAAAGGCTCACAAAACCAATATACAGTTAGGAGGCTGTAAACATAGGAGTACCTAGGCATCCTTGCATGCCACAAGGAGCGCTGTTATTTTTCAGGAGAAATTTCAGACACAAAGCACAATTTTTCAGGGACTCCTTGGGCACAATGCTGGATAGTATAAGTTGCTCGCTAACTGCACTTCACTGGTTGCCATCTTCACCTATTCCAGAGACACAGCTGGAAGTGAGAGTAAATTTCTTCGATATCAGAGTAAATTCCATGTTTTGCAATTTCACCAGAAAATGTCCCCATTGGGAAATTTCCCTTCTTACCACTTCTGCCTAGCAGCTCTAAGGTCGTCAGTTTGAATCCAGACTATAGCACTACCCACCTGGAGGTTGCATGTTCTCCCTGTGCCTGCGTGGGTTTCCTCTGGGTACTCTGGTTTCTTCCCACACTCCAAAGACAAGCTGGAAGGTTAATGGACTCCTGTATTAATTGGCCCTAGTATGTGTATGTATGTATGAGAGTTAGGGACCTTTTTAAATTGTAACCTAAAATGTGTAAAGCTACCAAAAAGATTAGATTTGTTAACACAATTATCTTAAAGCTGTCACTTTCAAGAAGTTAAAATTGTTCAGTGACATTCAACTGAATCACTGAAAATAATATCTACAATACTGAGAATTCTTCATACAGTAAAAGTTTAAATTACCATATCTGCACTGTGCCCTTAGCATCTGACATCTATTATATTTGCATGGACGTAGCAGAATTACACAACCATAGTTCTAAAGAATGGCTAAATTCACCACTATAGACATCTACTTTCAAAGAATTAATCTATCAGTCTTCAGTATGAGGGAAACTCTCAGCATGCCGTGCAAATGTCAATATAATAATTAAGTCTCCTCAATATGAGAATTGACACATTTACTAGGTGAAGAATTTTAAATATTGTTGTAAATATTACTGGGGCCCCCAGGATATCTGTCAGTGATTAAGTTGAGTGTCACTAAAGAATTTTAGTGGATGGGATCTTTTAAGATTTTTAATTTAAGAATGCTTCCCTAGATCTCGTCTTCGGTACCTCCTTACCAGGGGCGGACTGACCATTTGGAAACTCTGGCACTGCCGAGGGCCCGGGGTCAGTATGGGGCCCCATGAGATGCCCCTGGTACCTTTTTCATAGGCTTTTTTCAGCTTGGGCAAGGACACAGGGGCCCCATGTTCCCCTATTGCCTGGGGGCCCCATGAGTTGTCAGTCCGCCCCTGCTCTTACCTTTTTATATTCTAGTTTTTCGAGTCTGGTATGTGGTCTGACTAATTTAGAAGTTTTTTTTTTTTTGTAACGTTTTATATTCCGTTTCATAAAAAATAAACCTAACCCAATGTTTGAATTTGTACCCATTATATCCAAAACTAAATACGTTTTCTCGAGTTTCACTTAACAAAACTCAAAATATAGGTAATTACAAATATAATTCATTACCCTGCTTTATGATCAAGTTTGTCAGCAAGGTAGAGTGACCACTTAAGCTTGAACCCTAGGCAGATGCCAAAGAGACTATTTCTATTGCCGCTTTATAA